GAAAGTTTGAGGATAATTTTGGTACTTTTTAAAGGTAAGGGACAATTTTGGTGCCAAAGTCAAAAGTTGAGGGACCAAAATGGTACTTAAACCTTAAAATAAAATGATAAATTTTAGTGCCTAGTTAATGTTTGAGGTAGTATTTTAATTCACACACACACATATATACATAACACATTAACCTAAGGAAGAGGTATATAACACGTTAACCCAAGGAAGAGGAATAGATGCTCAAAATTTATGAAAAATAAAAATATAGGATTGTAATGCATAATATAATAATTATTTGTGCGGTTATAATTTTTTTTTAGCATTTTTGTTTTCTTCTTCATTTATAGTTCTTTATTAAAGAAAAAGATATGCTTGATTCTTTCTTCTATCTTAAGATATTCTTGTAATTATTGTTAATTTTGCATTGTCATAAATCAACCATCTCTTGCAATTTGCTTCCAATTAGTTATATTCCTACTATCTCAATTATGATATTATAATTGTAATTTTTTATTATATATTTTTATTAATTTATCAACAAATTTTAATTAAAATTTTCTAAACATTATATACCTTTTGGTATTTATGTACTTTATTGTTTTTCATAATAACAGTTAGATTTCTTACTTGCACCACCCTTTACTTTCCCGATCTCTAATTAGTAAAGTTAAAATACGTTGTAATGTAATATATAATACAAAGTAATTGAAATTTATTTTTAAAATACTAATATAACCCATATCATTCCTTTCCACTATCCCCTCACTTTTTTTCTACTATTAAATTTAATTCCATTCAACAGTAATGATGCATGAAAAGAATTTCATGAACAACTTACAATAAAAGATTTAATAAGAAACTGTTCATCTATTTGATAAATGAACTTATCAAAGAAACCACTTGAGAAAAAGGGAAATCCTTTTGTGATATTTGTTCCTTTTTATCATCTAATGTATCTTTTTTTTATCTTAATATGATTTTATTAAAATAAACATGTGACCTATATTTATTGAAAATACTTAAAAAAGAAAAAAAATCTAAATGTGAATGGAGGTTGGTTGGTGTTTGGACTTCACAAAAAAGTAAGCAAATGCCGGTAATGTTGTTTTGCATAGAATTACATATTTAAGATTAAAGGTAGTCCACATTTTGAAAATTTTTGTTTTAAATATCTATTTAAATTTTATTTCTATTTAATAAGATACAATACCCAAGAATTTTTTTTTTTTTTTTTTTTTTACGGCCGTCTACAATACCTAAGTCCTAAGATATTGGTTTTAAATTTTTTAAAATTATCTAAACATATTTTTGGTTTGTCCATATAATTTTTAGTCATTTTTCTAAGTCTTAATATAATAAATTATACAATAAGACCTTGAACTTGTTAAATTTATTTATGTTAAAAATAATCACACGATGTAAATGGAAAAAAGTCATGTGCAACGCATGGCCTAAAAGACTAGCTTTTACAAAAAAAAATTAAAGTTGAATCAAATAAACTCTTTTCTCATCCCTTAACCCACTCAACTAACACATCTTATTTATAGAACATATTATTTAAATTTAAAATTTTTTACTCTAATCAAAGGAGATTATCCATCAACTAAATACTTTAAGTAGTTAGGGAATCAAAGAAGCTTGTAATGAGTTAATGATAACGGATAAAAGGTAGCTGTTTTTGTTTGTCATCTTATTGGCTCAAAGTTTTATTCCATCTCTCCCAAAATAATTGTTATATTTTGATTTTTTTTTTATAAATTAAGAATTTAAAGATAACTTATATATTTATCTATTTACTTTTAAGAAAGAGATAAAAGATAAAGATATATTTTTTGTGATAGAATAATTAATTACAATAAATAGATAATGATAAGGGTAACCAAGGAAAAAATAATTGTCTACCAAAAAAAAAGAAAAAAGACAATTAATTTAGAATTAATTTAAAGTAAAAAAAAAAAAAAAATTGGCAACAATTGTTTTGAGATAGAAGCATAGATGGTTTGAATAAAATTGTAGTAGTGGTGTTGAAGATAAAATTTATTTTTATATTTTTTTTTATAAATTAAGGCTAAATGCTAATTTTAGTCTTTCAACTTTAAGATTTTGTATAAGTTTTGTCCCTTAACTTATATTTATATTTTTCTTTTAATTATAAAAAATATATATTTTTTAGTTATTCCATCAGTTAATTTGTTATATTTATCCATATATGTATATTTTTAGTCTTTGAACTTTTAAGTTGAGAAAAAAAAGTGCATATATTATAAATTGAGAAATTAAAAATATATATATTTAGATAAATCTATCGAATTAATTGACAAAAAAAATTTTAAAAAAATATATTTTTATAATTGAGAGACTCAAAAAGTACAAAGAAAAAAATTGAATGACTAAAAAATTGTATAAAACTTTAAAGCTTGAGAGATCAAAATTATAATTTAACTATAAATTGATAAAAAAATACATAAAATAACCATAAAACAGAAAGAGTATATATTATAGAGTAATGCTTCCCAAAGTAAAGGCTAACGAATTTGAGTGCAAATAGTGTTAGCTCCCTACACCAAGTAGACAATCGAAAAGATAGTTATTGGAAAGCAGTTGTGCCACTCAATATAAGAATATTTATGAAAATTTATATTTATAATATGGTGTGATATTATAAATTTATAATATAATATATTATTAAATAATTATTTTTTTAAAAAAATATTTATAATATTATATGTATTTATTAATATAATATAATATTTTATTTATATCACATACAATTATAAACTAACAATTTTATCAATTTAGAATTTCATATAAAATTATAATTACAATATTATTAAAATATTTAAATGCCTTTAATGAAGAAGGAGATTTAGACTACGTTTCATACAGTTGGTATGAACTATGAAGTTCTTTTGGACTTCAAAAATTTCAATTACACCAAACATTATAATTTATAAAAAATACTATAATTTTTAATAAATTAATTTTTTATTTATTTCATTACAAATCTCATAATCATCAAATTAATACTTTTACAAGAATTTCTCATTTGAATTCTAATGAAATTAACATATTATTTTTATTTTATATTTATTTATTTTTTATTTATAAAAATAACATTTTTATAATAATTTATTTTTAATAAAATTTTTATTGAAAAATCCAACCACACCAAACAATGACTTAATCTAGGCCTTGCCCTTTATGGATGCACTTGTTTCCAATTGGGCTCAGGTGCGATGTAAGGTAAAGTCACCTTACACTTGCAAGTTGCAGCATCTAAACTATTTATTTTATTTTATTTTTTTGAATTAAGTAATGCGGCGAGAAAAGGATCTGTAACGGATAGTTCGCAGTCCACTGGGCCATTTTAGGACGACCGCTGGATCGGTGCAAAACACACAGCTCCAGTATCCAGCACGCTCCCCTAGGCTGCATTCACCTGCTCCTTCCCGGCCGAACCCCACCCCGTCGACGATCTAAGCGGCTGGAGATTTAGAAAGCCAAGGATGAACATCTTCAGGAAGAAAACCTCTCCCAAAGGTACAATGCAACCCATTTTCTCAGATTCTCACTGTCTTTTCCTATTTGCTTTTAGGGTTTTCTGATGTTCTCCTTTTTCACTCTCTCAGCCCTAACTCTTCCCTGGAAAATCTCCCATTTTCTTAGGAAAACCAGAGCCCATATTGAAAGTAGAAGTGTAGAGCCAAAGTTACTATTTTTTTTAAAAATTTCTGCAGGAAATTTAAGTTATGATTTGTTGCAAATGTTTTATCCTCAATCGAGCTAATTACAAGATGGTGACTTATCCAAAGTTTCCTTTTTTTTCCCTGTTCTGATTTCTGTTTTTGCGGCTTTGTGTTCTAGTTTAAGTTACCTAAATTGTAAATAAATGCACACAATTTTTTTTTTTTTTTAACAGAGGCTCTGCGGTCAAGCAAAAGGGAAATGACTGTTGCTACCAGAGGTATGTACCTTTCCAATTGTCCGACCTGCTTG